ATATATATAATAAAAATAAAAAAAACTGCTCAAACAAATTTCCGAAACCTACAAGGTAGAATTGGAACAAAAATTTGAGTTACATCTTCTACTAAATTTGGCGACATTAATTCAAAATAAACTAGTACATGTGAATCCATATTTCAGTTTGAAATCAATAAACACAGGCTTAATTCCAAAACCATCACTTAAATATGTTAAAAGTGTGTTTAAATAAATAAATAAAAAGTGATAAGAATGAAATTTAAACTCAATCTTAACACTGCGTTTCAGTCAAATGTGTCTTGCACCATTTCTAGCAAGGGAGAATAACAATTGAATAATTTTTTGTTCAAGTAACCACATTGTATTGTACTAACATTTTGTGTGGGTTGGTTGCAGGGAACGTGATGACGGCGACCACGCACATAGTAACGGTGGTGGTGGGCGCCGGAGTGTTGGCTCTGGCTTGGGCCATGGCCCAACTAGGATGGCTAGCTGGCATAACCATCATGATCATCTTTGCATGCATTTCCATTTACACTTACAATCTCATTGCCGACTGCTACAGATACCCTCATCCACTCAATGGCAAGAGAAACTACACTTACATGCAAGCCGTGCATGCATATCTTGGTACTTTGTACAAACTAACTTATTTAATATATTACTAAAGGATTAATATCAAAATTTTACACTCACCATCAATCAAAATTAATTCATCTACAAGGTGGAGCAATGCACGTGTTTTGCGGATTGGTTCAATATGGGAAGCTCGCGGGGATTACAGTGGGCTACACCATAACTACATCTACAAGCTTGGTGTACGTTGTTTTAATAGTGTTGGTCATTGTGTATAATATGTGGAGGGAGAGACTCTGAATTCCTCTTATTGTGACAGGGCTATAAAGAAGGCCATTTGCTTCCACAAGAGAGGTCACGGAGCTTATTGCAAGTTTTCAAATAACCCCTTTATGATAGGTTTTGGGATCTTGCAAATTTTATTGTCTCAAATCCCAAATTTCCACAAGTTAACGTGGCTTTCAACCATTGCTGCTATTACTTCTTTTGGATATGCATTCATTGGAAGTGGCCTTTCTCTGGCAGTGGTGGTCTCAGGTATAGATTTTGGTGGTTTTGGTTTGTACCAATTTCCTTTTAGGAGGTTTCCCCTGAATGGATTTCTTGTGTATTGCTTATTATGGAGGCGTTTTGGGTGTGAACAGGTAAAGGAAAAACAACTCGTATATTTGGAACCAAAGTAGGGCCAGAAGTATCTGAAGCAGATAAAGTTTGGAGGGTTTTCAGTGCTTTGGGAAACATTGCACTTGCTTGCTCTTATGCTACTGTTGTTTATGATATAATGGTAAAAACACATTATTATCTAATTAACTAACCATTGTTGTATTAGTAAGTTATTCAATTCAATTTGATTATGTGCGTGCGTTGTTAAGGACACGTTGAAGTCATATCCACCAGAATGCAAACAGATGAAAAAGGCCAACTTGTTAGGAATCACAGCAATGACAATACTTTTTCTGCTATGTGGTGGCCTTGGCTATGCTGCTTTCGGAGATCACACACCGGGGAACATCCTCACTGGCTTTGGATTTTACGAGCCATTCTGGTTGGTCGCTCTTGGGAATGTTTTCATTGTAACCCACATGGTGGGAGCATATCAGGTTCCAACCTCTTGTTTATGAACTTTAATGCTGGATCCACTTATGTTGTGCTATCTATCTACATACAAGTATTTATGGGTCAGGTAATTCTTCCAGGATTGAGGATCTCCTTTAGAATATCTAACGACTGTTTCTATCCAAAAAAATTCAAAAGAGTAATTTATTACATCTTAACTCTAAACCCCAATTATCTACGCGTGCTAAGCGAATCCATATTGTGGATCTTGCGGCAATAGGTCCCAGAAATTTTGGAATAATAGAATTAATTCCCCCACTTATTATAAATGACCATTGGCTAGTGTTTAACAAGCCACTCAGGGTCAACTAAGTAATTAGTATGTGATCTGCTAATAAAGTCACCGATCAATCTCGTCTATATTAGATAATTATCTTCTAATCTAAGTGAGCTTAATCCAATCAATCTTAGTAAAATCGGTTACAAATTTAGATGTGATACATTGTCTTTAAGAATCAAGCACTAAAATGTGGGGAGTTTTAAAATCTGCGTAACCAATCAACGTTGTCTAGTCATTGAGATGAAGTCGACCTCTCCTAATTGATTTGGAAAAGGTTAGTCACAAGCTCAGTCATTTCAATAATTACTTTTAAAGATTTAAAAGAATTATGAATAATTTTTTTATTAAGTTAGATATTGCACTTTCAATCTATGTTCCTTGTTGTGTTGATATTTCATTATACAAGTAATAATATATTATACATAGATGTTATCAACTCTTGCCTAATATATTTCTTGCGTGTATATGTTAAATTATAATATCTAATGTGAAATATCATTAATATGCATGGGACAGGTGCTTGCTCAACCACTGTTTCGTATAATTGAGATGGGTGCTAACATGGTGTGGCCACGTTCAGATTTCATCAACAGGGAATACCCAACCAAATTGGGTTCCTTAACATTCAGTTTCAATTTGTTTAGGCTAATTTGGAGGACAATATACGTGGTAGTGGCCACAATCATTGCCATGGCGATGCCGTTTTTCAACGAGTTTCTTGCCCTGCTTGGAGCAATCGGGTTTTGGCCTCTCATCGTCTTTTTCCCTATACAAATGCACATTGCACAGAAACAGATCAAAAGATTTTCATTGAAATGGTGTCTGCTCCAGCTATTGAGCTTTGTGTGCTTTCTTGTTTCAGTAGTTGCGGCAGTTGGTTCCATTCGTGGAATTAGTAAGAATATCAAAAAATATAAACTTTTCATGTATAAACAATAGGCTATATTGCGCAATACAAGTTACTCAATTACAAGCTGTGAAGCTCAAAGGAGAGACTGATCACGATCTCGTGTCCTTCAATGGTAGCCTGCCAAGTTTCACAATTATGGAGTGTATCTGGCTGATTTCCACATTAGTTACTAGTGATGACAAGAAGTCATTGGACCCTTAATGTAGCTGAGAAATGGACTCCCCACTTTGCTACAGTTTTGAATACAAGAAATCTAAAGGATTGAAAATGTGTGTACATTAGTCTTGAATGATGTGTCCTTACCGGGTGAGATATTCCAGATTCATGTTCCTAAAAGTGAATAGGTTCCTCCAAATCTCAATAATTGATTACTTGAACACTTTCTTGTTTTCCACAATGTTATTTTTATGATATAGTTGATTTCTGACTTGTGTGCACGTACGTTGAAAGAATCTGTGGTTCACAGCTCCCAAACAATATAGTATATGAGATACGCTTCTTCACGTCTTCGACATCTTCCGAGGAGTAACAACAGTCAACAGTATTCTCCACATGATTGAAGTTAATTAATAACTTGCGGGGACCCACGTGTGAATTCGCTAAAAGCCAAATGCTCCACCTCCAGGTAATAAGAATCCAATAACAAAAAGTTCACAACACATTCGTTTAAACATTGTTGTGACTTTAATTGATGATGAGGTCTAAAGTATTTGGTCGGCAACTTTTCTTTCTGGCACGGCTGAATGTTGTGGACAGAGAGATTGGTATTCTACGTATAACACATGTCACACTTTCTTTTAATGGACAGTCCCACATTAGATCAAAGCCTACGACAAGAATTAATTTGCATTTATAAGATATAATTTCTGTTATTAAATATTATTTTAATATTATCATAAATAAAACCTAAGACATGTCACACACTTCTAATTATTGGATGTCTAATTAAAAAGAATAAAAAAAACTGCACTAATTTTGAAAATATTTTAAGTTCTTTTTTTAGTATTATAATATATTAAATATCTTGATTTTATTTTTAAAAACGAATATATTGCAAGAAGTGCAAACAAAAGATATTTATACTCCACTAAAGATACTAATTCGTATGAAAATAGTACATTCTATCCATTACTTCAAAAATTAGAGTTGACAATACTTGTAATTATTATTGTTGTTGAAAATGTTCATACAATTAAAATTACTCAAATATTAATTAATATTAACTATCTAAAAGATAAATTGGATTAATATGTTATTTTATATTAGGAGTAAAATATTATAAATGCTTAATTATAAAATTTTGATTAATAGAGATGTTTATACAGAAGAGAACTTACTAGCGTGAGACTAACAAGTATTAGTTTTTCTCTAATCACTCTTATTCCATTTGTAGCACATCAATATAAAAAACTAATCATGTTAACATGTTTCACGAGGACAAGCAAAACCCTAAATTAAACATCTATGACAAAAAAAAAGGAAAAGAAAATACTAGCAGCATCATCATTAGCAAATACGAATATTATTTGTTGGTAACAAGCAATTAACCAATTTACTTATTTTCTCAAGCACATAATAATAATAATAATTTTTATTTTTTTTTATAAAAAAAAGGGTCATCGATCGAATGGGACACTGGAATGTAGGAGTCATTGTCCCCGCCAATTTAATTAGTTTGTGCTTCGTTGGTGTTGTTTTATTCGAATCCTTCTCCCACTAATGCAGTTCACAAAATTGTGTGTCAATGAACAAATGTTTCATATGCACCGTTCAAATTGCACGAACATGTTAACATCTCGCGTGCGCATTTGCTTCTTCTCTCTACTAATTAATGTTCCTCTGTTCATGCACCATAATATCCATATGAGTGGTCAACGGATTTTCTGTCATGCAAAATTTTGTGTGTTTAAGTAGTTACCAAAACCCAACTTATTGGATCAAGATCAAATGGTTTAAATTTTAAAGGAATGTTTTAATCTTTTCTTTTAATTGAAATATGTCCAATTATGTGATATGTGTGAATGAATATATGAACTACTGAGTGTAGCAAATCTAGATTCCCATTGTTAATTTAATGCCACCACTTGCTACAAATATAATCATTGGATACCGCTCCACTGTGTAAGCTTTAATATTTTAAATTACAAACATAAATATCTAGCTATATCATAATAAATGTTGATAATTCAATAATTTTTCAATAAATTATACAAGATATTGTGTGGACCTTTTAAATTTAATATTTATAACAATACATTGTGATAATATCTTATAACATATACTTCAAATAATCACTTAAAAATTGTAACCGAATTATTCAAAAGCAAATATTTAATTAACTAAATTTTACTAAATAAATCATGATCAAAACATACTAATAATATTATAAAATATTATAGAAGGGTTCATATTTAAAACTTAATAATAATATGACTTAATATTGTGTCCTTTGTATGTATATAATTCATGTTAATTGAATATTTTAAGAAATTGGAAATATTTATCATTATTATTCTTTTTTTATCATTTTTAAATAAAATTTCTAACAAAATTTATAAATTTCGATAACTTTGGGGTTATCCTCTTCCCCCTTTATTTATTATTTGGTCAACAGTTTTTTCATAGGCTGTCTTATTGTGTTTCATTAACTTCAAACTCCGGAGTTCTACAATAAATTGAATTCCTAATCCTCTTCTCTAATATTTAAGGAATATTAAGAGAGATAGTGGTTTCCCTTTCAGAATGATATGTTTCGAGTGAAACGTTATTACAATAAAATTTATTATTAGTGATAATTATTTAACAATAATAAATTAATTATTTTTATTTTATTATTTAATAAAAATAAAATTTCTAACAAAATTTATAAATTTCGATAACTTTGGGGTTATCCTCTTCCCCCTTTATTTATTATTTGGTCAACAGTTTTTTCATAGGCTGTCTTATTGTGTTTCATTAACTTCAAACTCCGGAGTTCTACAATAAATTGAATTCCTAATCCTCTTCTCTAATATTTAAGGAATATTAAGAGAGATAGTGGTTTCCCTTTCAGAATGATATGTTTCGAGTGAAACGTTATTACAATAAAATTTATTATTAGTGATAATTATTTAACAATAATAAATTAATTATTTTTATTTTATTATTTAATAAATATTAATGACTAATATATAATAGTCATTAAAAATATATATGTATTACACCAAAATTTACTATTAACGATAATTATTTATTGTGAAAAATTTAAGTCCCACATTGACTAAAAATAAAATAATTAAAGAGTATATAAATAGATGTTAACTCTCACCTTACAAGTTTGTTTTATAGAATTTAGTTGGACTATTATTCACCATTACCAAACTCAATAATCCCCAAACTTAAGAGGATGTATTGAGAAAAATTCAAATTTCACATCAATTATTGATAAAATAATTAATTAGGAGATAAAATAATTACAAAAATAAGGAAATTAAAGAATATATAAGTAGAAGACAACCATCATCTTATAAGTCTCACATCGACTAGAGATAAAATAATTAAAGAGTATTTGTACTCATCTTATAAGTCTCATATCGACTAGAAAGTAAAAAATGCCTCAAAAAATTATACATTTTTTTTATTATTATAAGAATTTTTACCAGCATTCAAAATAATTTTTGCTATATGTTTTAGCAACACCGTATACAATGATTATTGTGAAAATGTCGATAAAAGATTTTGTAATCATTTTTATTACCATTAAAAGTTATTAAATATAACTAAAAGTCTATTTTGTTGTAGCTCTATTTTGAAATTGATTATGTTTTTTTTCTATTTAGCGTTAGTGTTAGAGTAGGGTAAATGTAACCCTAAATCCATCTATTATTTCAAAAGTGCAGTCTTAGATTATATATATATATATATAGATAGATTTTATAACTAATAAATAAATAGAATTATCAAATTAACTTCATTATTAATTTTTTTTATAGAGTGATGTAATACAGTAGTAATATTTTTAAAAATTTCATTAAAAGTATAAATAGAAATAAGTGATTAACATTTTATTGAATGACTAGAATAATATTTATTTAAGGACTTATTTTTTTATATGACAGTTATTACGGGATAGAAAGAGTAAAGTTTCTATGTTTAGTTAAACATTAAAGATAATTAGTGTTGACTAAATCAAAAAAGGAAAATAGATAATAAACTTGTGGCTAACAAACATATCCTAAATAAGCTTATTACACTAAAGACTCAGTCACTCAACACAAGTTCACAACAATAAATAAGACATAAACAATTAGTCATTAGAAGATCAAACATGAGTCTAAAGATGACAATGAATAAAATATTATAGTACTCATCTTTATACTTATGTTCATAAAAAAATATGTATACTCATAACATTAATATTTATGCAAGTAACATCTTTAATATCGATAATAATTAATAAGACATTAAATACATCGAATCAACGATCATAGTAATTAATTGCATGATATTCTCTATCAATATTTTACTTCGAAACAATCACAATTCATACATTTATGACAATGAGTTACCCCCTTGCGATGCACATTTCGTTTTCTTATGTAAATGTACACCGAAGGGTATAGAGGAGTTTTAGGTGCAAACCGAAAAATAAGAAAGGTTAAATGCACATCTTATATTTCTATCTGTCTTAAAATATCATTACTAATCACAATTTGAATTTAAATTTTAAGTTTTAAACCTAGACAAATTTCATCAACTTAATAGTATAGAAATAATTTGCCTAAATTTAAGTAATTTATTTTTATAAAATTTTCCTCACTTTAAAGGTTGTTTCTTTATAAATAATAAAAAAAAAGTTTCTTTTTTAACTTATCCCTATATAATGAAATCAAATATTAATTAATAATAATAAAGACATCTTGCATTGTTTTTATCTTTTTTTATAAGACTCAAATCAAAAGAATTATATTTTAATTATGTTATTGGTGTGAAATGTCAATCAATTTTTTGCTGATTAATTTATTTTGAATAATCTCTTAAAAGTATTATTTGATTAAGTATTATTTAATTTTTTTTTAAGAATTAAACTAAAATATTTCTTAAATTAATTTTTTTTACAATAAATGTTTCTAATTAAAGTCATTTCTCTTAACTTAGTAAGTGGTTGTTAGCGTAACTGTCGAGACAGGATCAAAAGTAGTTGGAAAAGAAAAAAAAAATAAATATAAATTAATAAAAAAAATTATTTAATGTTATCAACTTTGACTTTTTAAATCTAAATACTCATGCAATTGAATCTATATTTTTTTTTTATTAATAAAAATCATAATAAACTTAAAAGTTTCTACTATTACTTTACATTGTACTGGTTCAAGTAATAGACAAGAAGTAGTTAGTTAACAATGAGAATTAAAATTTTAAATTTAAAAATATTATTAATTAATTAAAAAAAGAAGTATAAATAGCATTGAGTTCGGAGATGAGCATCTGCAACAGGATATATATTGGATAAGTAGGAAGCAATACTGTAATGTGCATGGAAAACACCTCTCTACAGGTTCGTTTATGTAATCTTCTATTCCTCAATCCTCATCACTGTTTTACTTTCACAGATTCCTATTCTCACACGACTCTGCTCTGTTCACTCTTATTTAGGTGCTGCCGCTATTCTAAGTTCTAAGCTCTAAGTTCTAAGTTCTAAGCAGATATATACAGATCCATGGAGACTGAAGCCGCTAACAAGACTCTTCCAGTAAGAGATCCAGCTACCGAACTCGATGATGATGGCAGAGCCAAAAGAACCGGTACTCTTCCTCCGTTACATCTCATCTTTTCAATTCACACTATTTCTTCATATATACCTGCTGCATCTTTTATCTTCATACATCAATTGCATGTCTCGCATCAAATCGATTCAAAACTCCGCGTTTCATGTTTTAGATCCACTGTATTTTGTGTTTTTAATTAATGATACTGTCGATCACCACATGAGTGGTGATTTGGAGAATTTATCGATCGTTATTTGAGATTCTTAAAATTGAAGGTGATAGATGAGTTTGAAATTAACGCGCCGATTCGAGATTCAGGATAATGCCACTGGTATAGTACTGAGTTGAGCGCAGTTAAATTAGAAGAAGCAGAGAGACTCTGATCTAGTATCATCACTCTTTTGCCTCTCTTACTTTCAGTTATTTTTGTTAGTTAGTTATTTCTCCGAAATATCCGCTAACTTCCTTATTATTCGAATCTGTCCAATTTTTTTAACTAACTTTTCTCCTTCCTACAAGGACTCGGTATTTCTTCCGCTCATTGCTCATCTCTTCTATTCTTCTATTCTAATATTCTAATAATGGCACAACACAATCCTTCTCTCAATAATTCCTCTTCTGCCATTACATATTCAATCATTTTATCTCACCACCTTCATCGTATATCACTCTTGCGCTAAATTTTAAAAAACACTCTAACCCTACACGCGGATCTAAAATTTTGGAATCAAATTTCTTTCTTTTTCTCTCTCTCTTCGTGCTTTTTTTTTTCCATTTAATTAAATAACAACAACATAGCAAAAACTATTAATACCCGAGAGATATCACCTTGTGTGTGAATCAATTACTCCCACTTAATATCAATAGTCATGAGTTTTTTCATAGTATATAACTACATTAAATACTTACGAAAAAGTTTTGTAATATATAATAAAAACTTGAATAAAATTACTTACAATTTCATTAAATTATTTAACTGAGAAAATGGAATAATAATAATAATAGTAATTTATATCTATAACTATAATAATATATTATTTGGTGTTTCAAATATATGAAAAAATAAATTATTTTTCTAAGTCTTAGATATAAGTAAATCTAAATTAGCTTTTCTCTACTTCTTTTGTTAGTCGAAATTACAATGACAATATTATTTTTCAAGTCCAAGACTTCGTACATATTATTTCAACTCTTCTGACTATTAGATAAATTTTAGTAGAATGTAGCTTTACAATTAACACAAATCAAATTATTATTTCTCCTATTAAGTCTACTTTATTTAATGATAATGATATTAATATAAAAAAATACTTTTTATTTAATTGAGATTTCTAATGACTTTTTTCTATCTTTGATATCAAATTTCAATAAAAAATAATTTAGGGAAAATATTATTTTTAACAAAATTAAAAATTAAATTATTTTAATTAATATAAATTATTTTTTTATTTATATTTGAGATTGAAATTTTGGGTTATGGAGCAAATGTATGTGTACTACCAGAATTCGTTAGCATGTTGTTTGGCATTTGTATTTTTAATTATAGATCTAGTTCAATCTTTAAATTAGACATAAAATTATAATTAAATATATTAATTTAACTCTGTAGAGACGGATCTTTATTCTCCTTGTTGAAAAAAAATTGCGTATACGTACTTGGATGCCAACATCCCGATCAGCAAAATAGATTTATTATTTTATTTCAATGATAACTTCATTTAATACAGATACCCTTGCAACTATAAACAGGTGTAAAAAATAACGTGAATAAATACACCTAGAAAAGACAAATAAAATAAAAAAAATTTGTATGCGTGCGATTGGATTTCACTTTTGCGAATTCGGTCTAAGGAATCGTATCAAATCATCTGTATTTGGCAAGCTGGTCCAAGGAGGCAACTAGGTTTCCAACCAACCACGTGCTATGTTTTACCCTTTAGACACCGCAGAGACACTTTTAGCAAAAGGAAGAAAATCTCATGGCCATGAAATTCCGCCTCACACCCACCTTTTCAACTATTCACATGTTTTTTTTTTGTTTTTTTTTAACAGCAAATAGTTAAAACTATTCACATGTTAGAGGCTTGGATTAAGCAATTCCAGCACACTCTTTAGGGAGGCAAATTCATGTGTTAATCTCAACAATTTTCTGTACCTTTAATGCTTCTCCTACCTCTATTCCCTCTGCTTTGTTCACAGATGCTATAGGGCTTGCGGTTGTTAGGCTCTAGTCCTTTTCCTAACCTTCATATTGATCCATAAAAATGTCAAAACAAAAGAAAAATATTTTGGATTATCCTATGAAACATTTAAGTTAAATCATTAATTAAATCTTTTAAAACAAGTATATCACGTTTATAAATTTTAAAGCAAATAAATTAAGTGATTTTAAGGATTGTATTCGGTGTTTACTTTAACACGTAAAAAATAATGGAGTTAGATGTCTGACTGAACCGAAAATTGCTAAACTCTTCATCAAATATTACATCTATTACACTCAAAAAGTTGATTGCATAAATAATTAGTCAAAAATTGTTTAAAACTAGTTTGAAGTGACTTTATTAATAAATTTTTTATATTATATTGTTTTTATTTTTATAAGGCTAGACGATGTCATTTTAAATATTGTTTCATTTTATATTATCAGTACTTTGACTGTGATTCGACTACTAATAAACTAATGAATGTGAATAAATACTTTAAACAATAGAAAGGCCAGTTTAATTTTAAAACAATCACCTTTAAAAGAGACATATCGTTGTCAAGATCTTTGGCAGTCTTATTAATCCAACTCGAATGACAAAACAAAGCCACAAGAAGCCGAAAATTATTCTTTTTACCTGTATATTATGCAATTATTATCCTCTCTTTTTTTTTTTTTTTTTTTTATAATCGGTGACTCTTTGGAGCTGTTTGATTATTTTTTTTGTAGTATTTTTTTTCTTCCCAAAACAAAATTATTAAATTATTTTCAAAAATATTTTGAAAGTAAATAAAAAAATTCTGCTTAATATAATACTAAAAATTATCCTTATTTTTCAAAAAAAATAATTAGATAACAATTATTTTATTTTTTAATTTAGAATAATTAATAAAAATACATCATTAATATCAACAAAAGTGTGACAAATGGATTAAAAAAAAAAAGATGTAACATGTATGATAGGTAATATTATCTCTTAAATATATGTTTGAATTTGATCCTGATTAGTGTAAATGAAGAAAAATAATATTAAAAGAGATTAAATCAATATTAGTACCTTGAGATTAAATTTTAACTTTAAGTTAAGAAATATCTTTTGAATATCTCCGTCAAAATATGATTTGACAGCATATGAGTGTGCACTTTTGAAAAGTAGCTTAATTAAACAATCAAGTTTCTTTCTTGAAATATTGGTAATAGTTATAATTATTTTTAGATTTCACTAGCACCACAATAAACTGAACATTTTGGTGGATTGGGATGATTGTTTGCAGGGAACGTGTTCACGGCCACAACGCACATAATAACGGTGGTGGTAGGAGCAGGAGTGCTGGCCCTGGCATGGGCCATGGCTCAGCTTGGATGGATAGCTGGCCTTGCTGTTATGATCATTTTTGCATCCATTTCCATGTACACTTACAATCTCATTGCTGATTGCTACAGATATCCTGACCCTGTCAGTGGCAAGAGGAACTACACTTACATGCAAGCCGTCAATGTATACCTTGGTTCGTATCATAAGTTTGTTAAGTCTACTTCCCTACCTATTCTTGTGCACATTTTTTAACACTCTTATTCAAATGTTTGATTAGTTTCATATTTCCATTTAATAAATTAGGTGGAACTATGCACGTGTTTTGCGGAGCGGTCCTATATGGGAAGCTCGCTGGGGTTACAATTGGCTACACTATAACTAGTTCAATAAGCTTGGTGTACGTTATTTTATTACATCATAAACTAACTATGTTGCTGATTGTTTATTTGCATGAGAGAAATGGCAGCATATTCTCTCTAATTGCTATTATTCGATATATTTAAAAATCAAAATTTTAGTAAGATTAAATCATAAGAGACTTATAAAATTTGTAACTTATTATAAATTATGGCCAAACAACGTTAAAGAGAGTGTTAGAAAAAGAGGGTGGATATATAACATTCCTCTTTACATACTAATAAATGATAATGAGATGATGGACTTTGATGAATTTATATTCTTTTGCATAATAATAAATCTGATTGTGTCAGGGCTATAAAGAAAGCCATTTGCTTCCACCAAAAAGGTCATGATGCTTATTGCAAGTTTTCAAATAACCCCTACATGATCGGGTTTGGGATTGGGCAAGTTTTACTGTCTCAAATCCCAAATTTCCATAAGTTAACGTGGCTTTCAACCATTGCTGCCGCTACCTCTTTCGGTTATGCTTTCATTGGAAGTGGGCTTTCTCTAGCAACAGTGATCGCAGGTATAACTTCATTTAACCTATATTTTTTCAGCATTAATTCCGAAATTTTAATGCTACATACTTCCGGAAAATGTCGCTAGCTTGTTAGAGGTTTGCATCAATTTCTTGTTTGAAGGTTAATTTCCCCTTAGAAGGGTGTTTTATAAATAGATTCGTTGACAGTTTTTTCCAACCGTGTGTTGCTTATATGGAGGTATTTCGGGTGTGGACAGGTAAAGGACAACCAACCAGTCTATATGGAAACAAAATAGGGCCTGACCTATCTGAATCAGATAAAGTTTGGAAGGTTTTCAGTGCTTTGGGAAACATTGCGCTTGCTTCCTCTTTTGCTACTGTTATTTATGATATAATGGTAAGTACCAAGTAAGAACACATTGTTATTAAAATAATTATACCAAGAAAATAGAAAGAAGGCATTCCATTAAATTTGATTATATTTGTGCGTGCATTGTTTAGGACACATTGAAGTCATATCCACCAGAATGCAAACAGATGAAAAAGGCGAATGTGTTAGGAATCACGTTAATGACAATACTTTTTCTACTATGTGGTGGCCTTGGCTATGCTGCTTTTGGACATAACACACCGGGGAATATCCTCACTGGCTTTGGATTTTACGAGCCATTCTGGTTGGTGGCCCTTGGGAATGTTTTCATTGTAGTCCACATGGTGGGAGCATATCAGGTTCGATCTTCTAATTTATGAATTTTCCCTCTCCTTCTCCCACCTCACTCTCTCTAGAAGAGAATGTACTTTTACTACTATGAGCGTGACCATTATAAAAAACATATATGCATAATATCTATTATGTAATTTGAGATATAACATTATGTGACAGGTGATGGCTCAACCATTATTTCGTGTAATTGAGATGGGTGCAAACATGGCGTGGCCGCGTTCAGATTTCATAAACAAGGGATACCCACTAAAAATTGGGTCCTTAACATGTAACATCAACTTTTTTAGGCTAATTTGGAGGACAATATATGTGGTAGTGGCCACAGTTATTGCCATGGCGATGCCATTTTTCAACGAGTTTCTTGCCTTGCTTGGAGCTGTTGGGTTTTGGCCACTCATTGTCTTCTTCCCTGTACAAATGCACATTGAACAGAAACAGATTAAGAAAACGTCATTGAAGTGGTTTGTGCTCCAAATATTGAGTTTCGCGTGCTTCCTAGTTACAGTTACCGCTGCAGTTGGATCCGTTCGTGGAATTAGCAAGAATATCAACAAGTACAAAATTTTCATGTATAAACAATAGAGCATTTGGTTGCACATACTCGTGTCTCACATACGAGATATGTGAACGTAGCGATAGCCAGGAAGAAAAAGAAGTGAGACAGACTGAAAATAATTCGATTGTAAAGTTATCTGAGAGAAATATTATCCTAACTCAGGGTGTGTTTCTTTCATGTGACAAGGGCATTTCAAATGTCTATGATTTAAAGGATTTTTTTTTCTTTCGCAAAATGATTGTATCAGATAGTTCCTTGCTACTAGTGAAACTAGATTGAGATCTCAAAATAAGTTCTTAGTTCAAACCTTATAGATAAAATCTTTCCAACAAATGATACTCAATCAATTGATTTTTTTTTTTTCTCTGTGGAAGGCTAAGCCAAAAAGAAAAAGAGAAAACAAAATATACTCTCAAATCTCAATACAATACAAGAGAAGAAATCCCCAACACATCCATGAGAAGCAAGTGAGAACACTTGGAAGGAAATGATAATTAACAAATGAAGATTTATAGTAAGTCATAAAGCTGTACGTTATTTAGTGTGAAAGAGATAATTTATAAATAGTTTTTTCTTTAATTAACACCTAAAGTGTGTTTTAACGATAAATATTGTAGACAGGTATTGATCCAACTATTTTATCGTATAGTAGAAATATTGGCTTGCCCAAGAAGACCAAGCTCAAGTTTTGTAACAGGGGAGAACAAAACCATGCTAGTGACTTGTGAGCATTGTTGACATCTAGATATAGACCGCGTGTTCCGCGATTTATCCAAATTTATAATTTATGTTTTATATTTTAATATATATTTATATCAAAATTTAGTAATATTGTAAATATTATTTTTTAAAATTTTAATTTTTAAGTTTATTAGTTAACTAATTTAAATTACTTCTAAATATCATTTAATTGATATTAAAGTATTTCTATTTGTTGGTGGATTTTTGTTAATTATGAAAAAAAAATATTCTAAAAGCATTTATTTGATGTTTTTGTCCTTAATAACCTTATTTTAGCTAAATTATTTTTCTTTTCTTATTTAAAACATGATCAATTTTTTTGTCATAATCACATATTGGAAGATACGTGGTGAAATATAAATAATTAACATTTGAAGTCTTGATTTAAATCACAGATTTTTATAATCCAAGTTAATAAGGAACCAATAAGAGGTTTAGTTTTGATCTCAGTTAAAATTTATCTCCTTCACCATGGAAGGAGTTTTATGCATGATCTTTTAAATTCTACTCTCCCGAAATGCACTTTGAATGTAAATTTTGTATGTTAATAATTTTTTACAAGCATGTTAAAATAATTCTATAATCAACCTTTTAACAAATTTTTTTGATCAAATCAAACTAATATCAAAGTATTTAAACTAATAACAAATTATTATAAAGAAAGGTTAACAAATGAGTCATTGATTTTACTAAAAAGTATTACAAATATTATTTCAATATTTGATTATTTATTAGTATCATTTGTTAGAACTATTATAGTTAAAATTTCTACTATTTTATATAAAGTATATATAAAATTATAGCCTTATTTGAATCAAATTTTTATAATATATAATTATGATATTATAGTTTACTCTTAGAGCATCAATTAAATTATATTACTATTTTATCTAATGCACAATTAAATTATGTTACTATTTTATATAAATCACATATAAAATTATAGTTTTATTTTAATCAAATTTTTATAAAATATAATTATGATATTGTAATTTATTACAATTCATATTAAGAAATTGATAATGTGATTTTATAATACTTACATATCCTAAACACTATATTAATTCGTAATCAAGAAACATAATTTTTATAAAATATAATTATGATATTATAGTTTATTACAATTCATATTTAGAAAGTGGTAATTTGATTTTATATTTAGTTAATACTTACATTCCTAAACAAAATATTAATTCATAATTAAGAAATATAATTTAATTAAAATAATAATTATAGAAAATAATAAATGATATGAAATTATTATTTATTGATTTGTTATGAAATATAAAGGTGAATATACAATAATAATAACAACTTTTTCCACATGAGTTAAGAATCCCTCTAATAGATGTTATTAGAGTGACTCTTTTTCTTTGTTTTAAAAAAATACAAATAATTAGTATAAAAAATATATTATATAATTATTTAAGTTAGATAATATTAAAATTTATCATAATCAAGTAGCATTAATTATCAATTTAATATCAATTAAAATATATAACTGTCAATTTTGTAATTAATTTTAATAAAGTGTGATTTTATATTTGAAGATGAAGAAAATAGTTAGAATTCGTAGAGAATAGGTAAAATAACAAATTAAGGTAATAAAAAAAGTTATAATTCTAACATACATTTATTACTTTCAATTTCTAATAAAAATTGTCAAAAATTGTGGATATGTACTTAGTGATCTACATGAAAGTTCAATTGTAAAATAATGTTGAATCGAAAATTTTGTGATTAAATAAAAATTCAACACAAAATAGAATGAAACTAAAACAAAACATATTAAATGTTTAAATTAATCCTACCTAAGAAGACTACAATCCCCATTCCAGTATCTTTCTATATATATTGGAGAGTCATCTTCGAGTATTATTGACATTAGAATAGATATAAAAATTTAATATGCTAAAGTGATGGTGAGGATCAATATGAAATTCATTGTATCTAAATTCATATGAATAATCCAATAAAGAGATTCAATTTAGCTAATTTCAATTTGTTATGTTAGTGAATTTTAAATCTTAACTAAAAAGTATTTATTAGAAGAAACCAAACCTACCTCTTTTTTGTGACAATGCCTGCTATACATTGGCTATGAAATGATAGAAGAGATGAGTCATCATAGGTGGAAAAGAACGATAGTTATGGAGCTCCTTAATCCAAATATTTAGGATTTGTAGATATAGATATATAGAATTTGTAATTATGAAGATATATATTAAAATAAAAGAAATAATATAATATGACACATAAACATTTTTATTCACATAACATTTTAAAGATATTTTAAACTAATATAGTTAGTGAATTTTATATCTTAACTAAAAGAGTATTTATTAGAAGAAACCAAACCTACCTCTTTTTGTGACAATGCCTACTATACATTAGCTATGAAATGATGAGTTTTTTACTCAAATAATACTATTTTAAAAAATATTTACCCAAATAGCAACTGTGTAAATTTATTTCCCAAACTAGCATTATTTACTGTTCACGTTCTAGAACGGGCCGTTCTGATTCCAGAATGGGTCGTTCCAGATTAAAAAATAACACATGACGAATGGATCAGAACGGGCCATTCCGGATTCAAAAAATGCACATAAAAAGTGGAACCAGAACGGGTCATTCTGGCCTACAGATTCAGGCTTTTTTTTCTCGATTTTCACTTATCAATTACCAAAACTCAGAGACTACTATCAAGTGATTAAATTTATTGAATATTAACATTATAAATATAACTAAATAAATTTATTAAAATTCATTACAACAATAAAGATCAATGGTGACGTGACTAGGAGTGTGACAATATGAACAATTTTTTACACGATTATGTTATTCTCTAATGTCCATCTCTGCTCTAATCCTGCAGGACTTTGGCCGACTCTTGAAAGTTCTTTTGCGTTCTAGATTTGGCCACAAAGTTGGAAGAAACGCAACATCCGAGATAAGTTTGACCCGCTGAGAAATTTACAATAAGGCTAAATGAAATGTGGTATGATTGCAGCAAGTTTCAGAAAGTTCATATCTCTTGCTCGCATGACTCGCTGGGAGATTTACAGTAAGGTGTGACCAGGAGTGTAACAATAGGAACAATTTTTTACACGATTATGTTATTCTCTAATGTCCATCTCTGTTCTAATCCTGCTGGACTTTGACCGACCCTTGAAAGTTCTTTTACGTTCTAGATTTGGCCACAAAGTTAAAAGAAACGCAACATCCGAGAAAAGTTTGACCCGCTGAGAAATTTACAATAAGGCTAAATGAAATGTGGTATGATTGCAGCAAGTTTCAGAAAGTTCATATCCCTTGCTCGCATGACTTGCTGGGAGATTTACAGTATGGCTAAATGTAATGTGGTGTGATTGCGGCAAGTTCCAAAAAGTTCATATCCCTTGCTCGCATGTACTCGCTTCATGCTTACATGCACATCACGACTATCAAACTTACGTATCTCTCATATATACCTTACAATAAGTTGCAAAAGTATACAAATGACAGTTTGGAGAGCTTCGACATGAAGATTATTGGTCTACTTACACTGGTCCAACTTTGTGGCCAAATCCATAATTCAAGAGAACTTTCAAGGGTGGCCAAAGTCCAGCAGGATTAAAACAGATATGGACATTACAGAACAACATAATCAATTTTTGTCACCATTGATCTTTATTGTTGTATTGAATTTTAATAAATTTATTTAGTTATATTTATAATGTTAATATTCAATAAATTTAATCACTTGATGGTAGTCTCTGAGTTTTGGTAATTGATAAGTGAAAATCGACAACAAAAAAAAGCCTGAATCTGTAGGCTAAAATGGCCCGTTCTGGAACGTGAACAGTAAAAAGTGCTAACTGAGGAAATAAATTTGCACGGTTGCTATTTGGGTAAATATTTTTTAAAATAGTATTATTTGAGTAAAAAACTCATGAAATGAAAGAAGAGATAAGTCATCATAGTTGAAAAAGAACGATAATTATGGAACTCCTTAATCCAAATATTTAAGATTTGTAGATATAGATATATAAAATTTATAATTATGAAGATATATATTAAAATAAAAAATAATATAAAATGACACATAAATATTTTTATTGATATAATATTTTAAAAATATTTTAAACTAATATAATATAGAGTAACTCAACTTTTATATTATAAATAGATGTATTATAAATAGATAGATATGAAATTCAACATTAATTTCTTTAATTTGGAGGTTCATATTCGTGGTGATGGTGACTGTATTGCCCATGGACCAATAACTATGGCTGTCACTTCTTAATGACATGATCTAGTGGAGATGTTCACTGTCAACCAGAAAGCGATCACTTTGATGGTTTGGACTTCAAACTTTGAATTTATGCCAGCCATTCATGGGTTGGGCCATGCTCTTGGGAAAAGCAAGTCCACTAATTGTCTAATAGTATGCAAACAATATTGAATATAGGTTTTCTTATGTTTTATATTTTTCAATGTAAATTTGTATTAAAGATGAGTTAGACAATTTATAATTTTATAGAGAATTTTAAAGAAATTGATTATTAACTATGATTTTGTACAAATAATGTCTTATCTTAATTTAAACATCTTATAAAATAAAAATAAAATAAAAAGTCTTACGTCATTAGAATTGTAGATTGTTATAGTCAGTTTAAGCAATCGATTTTTTCCAGTGTATGTCTTTAGCTGGTTAATTCCACTTGTAATTTGTAAATAAGTCTTAGACAAAGAAAATATCAATATTCATGTCATATGCAGAAGAAACATTCATTCAAGACCGAGACTACTAGTGTGTTTGCTTCCGCGTCAATAACGTGATTTTTCACGTCAAATCAGAAGCAAATAGTTTTTACTTCCGCGTTTCAGGTAGAATGGACGTGAAAATTTGTTGGAAAACGCTAAAACAAACATGTTTGGAAAACCCTAAACCCTAAACCCTAAACTCTAAACCCTAAAACAAACATGCTATACGTAATGGAGTGGAATTGAACAAATTTGGTTTTGCTGTTTCACTTGACTGCAGACATGTTCCAACTTATAACTTTCTACTAATATTGTAATATAGTTGATAGATAATTATGGGATTAGAAATTTGATCCTTGAGTCCTTGTATAGGTATGAAAATATATATGTCGGTAAAAGCCAATTCTTTAAATAATTTTTCATACTTCGAGATTAGTTTCTAAGTCTAAGTTGTAATATATCCTATAAAAAAAATGGCACTGTCTTGACTTATAAGTTGTATGTACGTACTATATAACATAAGAAAAAATTTAAATCACAGTACACCTTCCTACACTTTTCAAATTCGTCTTTGTTTATGTTTATAGTAACATTGCAAAGTATGTTTCCACCGAGTATGGTATGGGTCATTTTCAGTGAAATGTTTTCAAGACTCTTGTTTTTAGTGACAAATCAGCCAATTAATAGTCTGCTTTGGTCTAAGAAATTATATTACATATTATTTCCTAATTTTGTCGTCTAACTTCTTTCCACATACTTAACACTGCATTGTACATAACCACACAAATCGATTGCAGAAATTGTTTGTAATCATGTGCATATATATTTGCATCCTATTGTGTTATGTCTAATTCTAAGTCTAACCTCAGTTGCTTACAATCATGAGGGTATATATGCTCGGTAAATAGAATAAGTTGATTTGCTACTTGCTAGAGGACACAACTAATGAATTCATGAGTTCACCGGGCTTTCTTTGGCTTTAGCAACTATTGGAAATGTATGTTGCTCTGCATTAAACATTAGACTAACTTGAGTGTGTTTGTGTGCATTGCACTTGAATATAAAATATCTACAACTTGCGCCAAGTCATAGGGTTATTTTCCTTCTACATTTTGGAGCACAAATTCTAGTCTGTGACAAGTTGCTACTAAACAAATGAAGCAATTTAGCATCCTCTAAGATAAACATTATTCTAAGAAACAAATAATGAAGTGGGGTTGGTTGGTAATATCAAACCGATCAATGTCAAAATATCTCATCACTTGTGGGGTTTGTATGGTAAGATCAAATCAAATTGTTAAAATGTCAGTCTGACTAGTGACTAGTTAAGATTCATAAGTAATAGAGGTAAATTTAAAATGCAAACCCTCATTGACTTACAATAGTACTTTCAATTTTATTTTATTTTTTGTTCTCTTTTAGCTTAGTAAATATCACAAATTGTAGCGTTCAAATGTAAATTTAATGAATATAATCTCCAATCTCAAAGGCGTAATACACAGTGTAATACACCACAAGGTTGGTTGAAGATCACATTTGAATTTTTATGATGAGTTTTTGATCTTCAGGACTTTCCTCAAAAATCTGCATTTGCAAGAGCACGGATCACAAGTATTTTACCACTTTAAAATGATGGAGGCTTTTGAAAATTTGAGTAAGCAACACCTACTGCTAAGAAAAACGCCAACACTTGGAATATTATACTAATGAAATGGGAACTTTCCTAACCAAACCACTTGTTGACATTTCCATTGTTACTAATTAATCTCAATTAATTTCATGGTTGCCTCGTGATAATTGACCACCGGGAGCGAACTTGGAGATACAAAGTTTGAGTTTGATCCCCAAATTTCACGACACAATCCTATATTAATTTGGTGAATAGTTACTTTAGTACCTTAGCATTGGGCCATATGAGCCCACGGGAATTCGTGGCAGCAATTTGTTTTGATCACACCTCGTATTTACACAACGGTAAGGAAAACCTCGTATTTACACACCTATGGAGATTTTCTTTCTTTTTCGCTTAGAACTAAGAATGTCTCTATTCATAAATGTAAGACAACGTGTGCTGCCACTTTTTTGTTAGCGGAAAAAAAAAAAAAAAGACTGGGTGCATGTGTAGTTGAAATTATATTTGAATAAAAAAATCAAGTATCATAAGTGTTATGTTATTATATGGGTTAGAAAAATAAATGTAATATTAATAAGAGAAAAACGTCAAATATATATGATATTGCGTATAAATTCTGTCCCATCTTCTATAAAATAAAAAAAAGATCGATTATGCTAGAAAGTATAAGGTAGCGTGCTTGAGACTAGCAACAAAAAGATATTCACTTGGGTTTACTAGTTGTCTATTTTTCTCCATACTTTATGACCCAAATCCCCTTAGGAAACCAATGAAACACTTCAAACAAAATCGACTATCCAGAGAATCAACGTGGATGGTGGACGACATAACAAAAATAAAATAAAATAAAAAGAACAATGATGGCATGTCTTACTCCTAACAATTGTGTAGTTTTAACTAACCAAAGATATTATCCACTGCAAAGGCCAAATAGGCATCACAATATCCTCACTAGTCGTGTTTGAACCAAACTCTTCACAAGGAACATAATTTTGTAATGCTTTGCTTCCATCGTTTTCAACCTCACCCGTGCAGTTCAATTTCATTGTTTTGTTTCCTGTGATCATATTCAATATATAATAAACTCACTTCACGAATAGCGCAGACAAACATAGCCCAAACAAAGACACGCTAGACATGTTCGAAATTTAACCCCTCACATTTTCCCGGCAAAATCCCTAACTGAAACGTTGAAATGACCAAAGTACCCCTATTCATGATGAAATTTCCCTTATATTTGTTTCTCTTACTCAGCATCACACTACCCTCTCAAGTAATTTCACAAACCGAACAAACAATCCTACTCAGCCTCAAACGGGAACTGGGGGACCCACCCTCGCTCCAATCATGGAAACCGTCGCCGTCGGCGCCGTGCGACTGGCCGGAGATTCGCTGCGCCGGCGGCGCCGTCACGAAGCTCCTCCTCTCCGGAAAAGGCATCACCGCGCAGAACCTCCCCGCCGCCAGAATCTGCAACCTGAAGCACCTCACCATGCTCGACCTCTCCGACAACTCCATCGCCGGCGAGTTGCCGACGACTTTGTACAACTGCTCCAACCTGCGGCACCTTGACCTGTCGCAGAACTACCTCGCCGGAACAATCCCCGCCGACGTGGACCGCCTCAAAACCCTAACTCACCTCAACCTCGGCGGCAACTCCTTCTCCGGCGAGATTCCGGCGGCGATCGGAAACCTGCCGGAGCTTCAGACACTGCAGCTTTTCACTAACCCCTTCAACGGAACAATCCCAAGGGAAATCGGTAGCTTGTCCAATCTCGAATATTTAGGTTTGGCTTATAACGTTAAACTCTCTCCGGCGAAAATCCCGTTGGAGTTTGCTAAGTTAAGAAAATTGAGGGTTATGTGGATGACGAAGTGTAACTTAATCGGAGAGATTCCGGAATCTTTCGGGAATCTCACGAATCTGGAACGGTTGGATTTGTCGGTAAACAATTTAACAGGGAGAATTCCTAGGAGTTTGTTCTCGCTTAGAAAGTTGAAGTTTTTATACCTGTTTCTTAATGGGTTGTCGGGTGTGATACCTAGTACGATGCAGTGTTTGGATTTAATAGATGTTGATTTGGCTAGGAACAATTTAACAGGTTTTATACCACGAGAGTTTGGGAAGTTGAAGAGTTTGAGCACCTTGCACTTGTATTCGAATCAGTTATCTGGTGAGATTCCCATTAGTATAAGCCTAATTCCTAGTCTTAAGTATTTCAGGGTTTATGGGAATAACTTGAGTGGAACACTGCCTCCGGAGCTAGGCTTGCATTCGAGGCTTATTGCGTTTGAATTTTCTGAGAATCAAATCAGTGGTGGGTTACCGGAACATTTATGTGACGGCGGTGTTCTTATGGGTGTGGTTGCTTTTTCGAACAATCTTAGTGGGGTTTTGCCTGAATGGCTTGGGAATTGTCCTTCTCTGGCTACGGTTCAGGTTTTTGATAACAAGTTTTGGGGGGAGGTTCCTTTGGGCTTGTGGACTTCCAGGAACCTTTCTTCTTTGATTCTGAGCAATAACTCGTTTTCTGGCGAACTTCCGAGGAAACTGTTTCGGAATCTGACGAGGCTTGAGATCGGGAACAACAGGTTTTCGGGAAGGATATCTGTTGGGATTACTTCAGCTTCGAATCTGGTGTTTTTTGATGCAAGAAACAACATGCTCTCGGGTGAAATTCCGAGGGAATTGACGCGTCTTTCTCGGCTTAGTACTCTCAAGCTTGATGGTAATCAACTTTCTGGTGCAATTCCTTCTGAGATTGTTTCGTGGCAATCACTGAGTACTATGACACTCTCCGGAAACAAACTATCTGGAAAGATTCCAACAGCTATGGCTGCTCTTTCTAGCTTGGCTTATTTGGACTTGTCTCAGAATGACTTATCGGGTGAAATCCCACCTCGGTTTGAACAATTGAAGCTTGTTTTTCTCAACTTGTCATCCAACCAACTATCAGGGAGCATACCTGATGAGTTTAATAACCTGGCATTTGAAAACAGTTTCTTGAACAATCCTCATCTGTGTGCTTACAACCCAAATCTCAACCTTCCTAACTGCTTCACCAAAACCGAGCCAGACGCCCGCAAATTGTCTTTCAAGTCACTTGCTCTGATTCTGGTTGGAACCATCGTTGTGTTGTTGTTGGTCACAGCCTCCTTGGTCTTGTATAAGAAGCAATGGCGCAAAAAGCAGTGCGCGCGTAAGGTTTCAACGTGGAGGCTGACCTCTTTCCAGAAGCTTGATCTCGGGGAAATGAACCTCTTCTCAAGTTTGACAGAGAATAACCTCATAGGAAGTGGAGGGTTTGGGAAAGTTTACCGGGTTGCTTCAAACCGTCCCGGGGAATATGTTGCGGTGAAAAAGATTTGGAATCGCAGAGATGTGGATGACAAGTTGATGAAAGAGTTCATGGCCGAGGTTGAGATCTTAGGCAATATTCGGCACTCGAATATAGTGAAGCTTTTGTGCTGTTATTCAAGTGAGAACTCAAAAGTTCTTGTTTATGAATACATGGAAAATCAGAGCCTGGACAAATGGCTTCATGGGAAGTTGAAAACATCACCTAATGGGTTGAGTTGGCCAACGAGGTTGAATATTGCCATTGGGGCTGCACAAGGTCTTTGCTACATGCACCATGAATTCTCACCCCCCATCATTCACCGAGATGTCAAATCTAGCAATATACTGTTGGACTCAGAGTTCAGAGCTAAAATAGCAGATTTTGGTCTGGCCAAGATGTTGACAAAGCCCGGGGAGCCACACACCATGTCTACTTTAGCAGGCTCTTTTGGCTATATTCCACCGGGTAAGTGATGCCAAATTGCCACGTGCAAAACTTGTTTATATTATGCTGGTCCTCTGGCTAAGTAATCTGATTATATGCTTCACTTGCATTGCAGAATATGCGTATTCAACTAAGATTAACGAGAAAGTTGACGTATACAGCTTTGGGGTTGTGCTCTTAGAGCTTGTGACGGGAAAAAAGCCTAATAAAGGAGGCGAGCCTGCATGCAGCCTAGTTGATTGGGCGTGGGATCATTTTAGTGAAGGGAAGAGCCTTGCTGATGCATTCTATGAGGATATCAAAGATCCACGTTACGAGGAAGAGATGGCTAGTGTCTTCAAATTGGGCCTCCTTTGCACAAGAACATTGCCTTCAACTAGGCCTTCCACGAAGGATATTTTGAAAGTTCTTCGTCATTGTCATTCAGGTTCTACACGTACAAGAGTGGGACACGAGTTTGATATTAATCCTCTTCTTAGTGATACAAGGTACATTTATAGTTACAAGGAGAGCAATGCTGCAAGCAATAACTCATCTTGGTGATACAAGTTACTTCTCTAGTTACAAGAAGAGTATGCTGCAAGTAGAATTTAATAAAGCAGCTTGTACGGTTTGTGAAAAGTGTTATTTTGAAAAGGATAAACCTACCTTCACTTTAGTTTTTTTTTTTTTATAACAATTCTTGTGAGATAAGAAAAAAAAATCTAGACAAATAAAATAAGTAATGAAAAAAAAATTATGTAAGTACCACTGTTTTACCATCTTCATTGGTTATATGATTAACAACGAAATTTATTAATTATGTTTTACGCATTACAGCTTTATTTAACCAATACGATTGTCCAAGTGACCAGGGTAATTCAGTATAATCCCTGCTTCATTATGTTTATAACCCATACTCTGAAGCAAAATAAATGAAGTACGCAAGCATAAAAGAAAACCACGAGAACACTTTAAGACAGAAACCATTTTCACATGATAAGTATTCACTAAATTGAAAGACCAACGAAACTCCATGGACAGAATGATCCTCCCCACCGCAAATTCCAGAGTAAGGAAGGCTACCCTATTCTGCCGCCAAAATATTTTGGTTATACCGTTTTCTCTTCTAAATCACCTAGCCGAAATAGCTATTTGCTTACATTTACATAATGTATCGATCACATCCACGTCACAAGCAAACAACAAAGTTCCAACTCCTTTAAAATCCAAGATAAGTAAATATGTTAAGGTTTACGAGACAATTCACAGCTCTGAAGATGAGATGAGCCCATGTTTCACACACAACAGGACCTGACCACATTTTTAAGCGTCTCCATCATGCGGTTCATCTATGTACAGAAACGATCATCGCAACGCCATACCCCAAACCCCAACCTCTTTCATTGCCATCATTTGTAACAGCTCCTCACTGTTCAATTATAGCATTAGTCCCACTCACAGGATCTCAGCACAGCAACAGCCACAACGTAGCACAGTGTAGCAGCGTGAGCAGCAATTTCAACCATTCACCTCCCAAATATCATGTGATTCACTCCAAACTCATCCTCCTACAAGACAAAAGCCAAAATCAAAGAGCACAGTATAAAAATTCTGACCTAGCCAAGAGATGAAAATCATGCTTTTCACAAGCTCCGCAAAGATTCTGACCTAGCCCCGTCTTCAATTTATACGACACTTCTTTGTCTGACGTCTGGCTATACACAATACAGAAAATGGAAAGAATAATAATTAGGAAAAAAATATTAAACAAAAAATTGTAAAATGAAACAAAAGGAAGGTCTGGTCTCTGAGCCTCTCTATACACAAAACAAGTTAGGTTCTTAAGCACAGTTACTGGAAACATAGCACGTATAAGTGGTGCAGGACCTGCGACCACATATTCACCAGTCAGAAAACTCACTCAGAAATTCAATTACCATGAAAACTAATAATCAAATTATCTTGAAAGAAACAGAAAAATATACAAGATAAAAACAGTCGTTCACAGTAAGAAGACCCAGCAAGATGGAAAGAGAAAAGGGACACACCGCATTCTGAATTAGCTATAATATGCAAACAGAGCTATAACAAAAGTAAAAATCAAATCAGTCCAAAAGAAAGACAAGATTAGACTCTTTATTTATTCTGAAAACCCATGAAATATAAAATTTTGGTAGCAGCCATAAAGGCATAAAGCAAAGAAGGATGAGGTAAATAGTATTATTGTAAGATCAGATAATCTTTATTACCCAGAAAAACCAAGAGATTAGAAAATTCAAAACCTTATATTCTTGAGCCCCGATATTTTGAAATACTCTATTTCCAAGAAAACAACCACTCTTCAGAACTGATCTGGATCAGCCACACAAACATCACCCTGCAAAGATCCCTGACTCACTATCTCCCAGACTTGCAGTTTTTTCACTGCCATCCACAACAGTTCCTAATCCAAAAAAGTCCTCAAATGAAATAACTCACCTCGCAATTGAGGTTCTGGGAGCTGGCATTTGATACATAATCTGAACATTCGGCCCTTGTGATGAAATTACATGCTTTATCTAGTCGCTGATCCATATCAATGACACCTTTATAGTTTGACAAGCTGTTGGTCGATTCAGTTTCTGCACTTTCCAAGCAATCTAAAGCCAGATCCCGAGCTTCGTCCCCATTGACGACTCCATTCTGAAACGCATCACCAACTTCCAATTAAGGAACTTCACATGAACCAAACAACTTCCAAAGGTTCCTCCACTGGTTCAGCAGCTTACCTCATTTGGAACTTCTACACTCCTTGATTTCAACATATCATGTCTGGAATCAACAAAGCCCGGTTCACTAATCTGCGTGTTGGCTATCTCAGTACTTAGTCCGCTTCCTGGGAGTGCATCCAATGACTTAATTTCACAATTGCTATTAGCATCCTTGGTAGTTGAACCAGATAATCTAACCCCTTCCATACACTCAATACTCATTTGAGCTGTACCAACTGATTTACCAGTACAATATTCAGGAGAAACACATTCTAACCTCTGCGGGCTAATAGATGCCCGCTTATCTGGTTTGTCTGGCTTCCTATCCACCATTTCAGGGTAGTTTTTCCTCTTGATGCATCTTTCGGATGAACTGGACCCAGAGTAGCACTTTGTGATGTCATCACCTGTTTTTTCAGCCAGCTGGCTTATATGCCTTGGCATTCGAGTGCGCTTGTAACCATCAGGAAAAACAAATGCGGGGAGTTGCTTTCGACGAACATGAGAAACAAAGATTTGCATCCCTGGCTTCCAGTACATGTACATATTTATGTCTTGTCTAAATTCATCAACTGTTCCACGTATATCAAATTGCTGCCCCTCTTGACCTCTTACTCCCTCTTTTCTTTGCAGGCCCATGAAAAATGCAGAATGTGCACAAGGCTTGGATGTGTCTATATATTCATGTGGATAAGGATGGCACTGCAACATCCCATTTGTATCTCGCTCTATCTACTCAGATAATTGAAGAGTATGTGTCAATATTTAATACATGGGGGGAAAAGAATTTACCAAAATGTTCAGAGATTAAATATTTTCAATGAATAAAAAGCAGAATTGGATTAAACCCGGTACAGAGAAGTCTTATACCAAACTATGACAAGACTGTACCTTCAGGGAAAAAAGAATTTACCAAAATGTTCAGAGAATAGAGATTAAATATTTTCAATGAATAAAAAAGAGAATTGGATTAAACCTAAACCCAATAAAGGGAAGTCTTGTACCGAACTATGCCAAGACCATACCTTCAGGGTAAGCAGTCTCAACCGTGATTCTACCCAGCCCCTCCACGCTAGTAAATCATCTGTGTCTGATGCCATTATGTCCACTTGTAAATAGTTTTTATATGCCTCAAAAAAGATATAAGGCTGAAAAAGTGCGCTCCACTGGGCTTTATTAAGATCAATTTCCTAGCAGTAGAACTATGGATCAGATATAGTCACAATTAATAAAAACCAAGGAATACTAGACTTCTCTCTTACATCACAAATCTTATTGCCATAGCGGAACTGTTCCATCATAACACGAAGAGTGCTTGCTGAGACATTGTAGCTTGAATTCATGCAAGGGTATGCAGGAGTAATTATTGGCATGGTGTGAAATCTGTCTCGGGGGTTCCTACGAGGATCCCATATTGGGAATCCCAGTTCATTCTCTTCTATAGAGCATAACATTACAGGGTTTGGCCACCGCCACTGTGTATAGACCCTGAAGAATCGAGAAACCAACATACTGGGGATTGCATTCGGGTAAAGCTGGCAAATTCGAGCAACTAAAATAGCCCAATTTACACCACCAAGGAACCCAGTAACCTAAGCATACCAAAAAACAGCAATTAAGATGATTATAAAAGCAAATGCCATTGGTGTTAAAATAAAAGATAAAAACTTAAGAAGATTGTGTAGGTGCTGCTCTTACATTTGAATAAACACCACGCCTTTTAGCCCAAAACTTTAAACATCTCAGTGTAGTTCGGAAGTGCTATCATTATCAAGGGTTAACGGACTATCATATTAATAAGATGAACAGCCATTAAATCTAATATAACATTTAATCAAACTAAAGAACATATATATATTAACCTCAACATTTGGAACAAGTTTAAGAATTTGATCTGCCACCCGGCAGCCATTAAGACTTCGAACAGTTGGTTCATCAACATCATACAGCACTGAACCATGTGAGATATCTAGGTCCTGTTGATAAGTGTGTTAGAAAACTAAATCAAATGAAGGTCAAGTTTCAATAAAACTATGGATTCTAAGACTGAGAAAGTACAATGGGGAGAAAAATGAAATAAACATGTTTTTTCCCTTAGAATCAAACTAGAATGCAAAAGGCAACAGGAAACAGATAAATGGTAACAAATACAATACTGATTAACAACCTTTTTGAATGAATATAATCTATCAAACTAAACAAACTGCATAATAAATTTAGATCAACAATAAAAAATTAAAAAAAAATTATAAAAATAAAGTGCATTTATCAAAACTTAAGGATGCTATATAAAGGTCAGCAATCAGCATACTAACTTAATATCCTACAGTTCAAATCAAACAATAAAAACATCTACTACTTCCTAATTGCTATACAGTTATACAGAAGGGGATGAAAAGATAAAGATCCCGCACTTCAAATTGAACATGCTAAAAACAGAAAAGAAAGAAAAATAACATAATGATAGCATTACTTGTATAGGATTAAATTCTAAAAGCAATTGGGAACTCAATTTTATGAAGAACAGTATGCTTATGTTAGGGAGGCCCTCAAATTCTAAACCTAAGACAACTGCAGTTTTAATAAAATTGCCCCCCAGAAAAATGTGCTCTCAAAACATACAAAGTCCCTGCTGAATGAAAAACCAAACTTACTTCTGGCACAACCAAAAGTGATATACTTGCATACAGCAAATCTATAGATATCCCCTGGAATTTGAATTTCATTACTGGAACATGTGCATCAGGAACTGGTTGCAGTTCAGTAACTTCTTCCATTTCGGCCAGGATATTGTGCAAAATGATGAAGAAATCTTCCTACAAAAGAGATATATTGGCTAAAATATAACCAAAGCCAAGGATCTTACTAAATAAAGGAAAAGTAAGAAGTGGCAGTGTGTCACCTCTCGGTTCACATAAGAAGGACCAATGCACAAAGTGTCTATGTCAACTCCAGGTCCATGAACCTGCAAAAGATTGAATTGTTACTAGATATCCAAACATTTATGGAACAGCCAGTCACAAAACAAACAAAATGGTAATTGGTATTATTATATACATACATACATACACACACAAACACAATAATTTTGTGACAAAATTTACTTTCTGCTACTATTTTCTTTAGAACCGAACATCATTTCTGCTACAAGAATATATTCAAAAATCAAGACATTTATGATTAGAAATGATATTCAATAGAAGTCAACACCCATCCGTTATTTGTAAACAGCGACTAAATCATGTTTATAATGACAAACAAAAAGCTTATATGAATGAACTTCAACACTCTCTAGGCCAGGAGAATTAAACAATAAGGAGATACTCATCAAAAAACACCTAAAAGACATCAGGTGTCTCTTTCTTGAGGTATCTATAGACTATATTTATAAAGTGTATGGCAAATTAGCATAAAGGGTCCACCAGACTAGTTATTTTCAGACTCTTAAGTGTTTTAGTTATTCCCAATAACGACAAATGCACCTTCATGATAATTTTTTCTCCTACAAATCTTTCCAATATCCAGATTTAATTCCATTACACTACTGTCAACTGACGCCATTGTCAATTTCTACAGTGAACCAAAACAAGACAAGCATACTCAGGAGAAATTAGCAGATTTCAACTCATGGAAGGCAAGCCTTGAATTTAACCCCCCCCCCCCGCCCAAAAAATACTCCAAACAATCAAGAGAAATTACAATTTGAATCGGCAAAAGGTAACAATGAAACACTCACCCCTAGTCGGTAAGAACCAAAAGTGAAAATGACAGCATTTGCATCCTCAACCATCTGATCTGTGTACCCACGTTGGCGCGTCAACTGCTTGACCCAGCTTTTCACAATCTACATTGCAGGCTAACTTCATCATTCCAAAATTTAAATTCAAAGGACAGACAAAACACCTCAATCATGACAAGAAAGAAACCAATCCAAAACAGGCATCAATCTATCAAGGCTTCAATCCAAATCACGTTACTCAATATAAAACAAAATCCACAATGCTCCTCTAGAATTGGCATGCATACCGTTCGCGTAAATAGAACAAGCGAAGAAAATAATACAAAGCACGAAAACAGTTGTATTGCAAATGAAACACCACAAATAGCAACACGAGCGAGATCGAAGAAACGTATAACCTGATCGAGGCGGTGGAGAACCTCTTTTCTCGCTGCGGCTTCTTCATTGCTCTCGTAGAGCCCCGAATCGAGCAAGCACTGAAGCGAAACAAGACGAATTAGGTTTTTTCATTTCACAGGAAGCGAGAGCGCGGTTAAATAAACAGTTACCTTCTCCAATTCGAGGTTACGTTGGAGATCAGCGTCGGTGGGACCGGCGAGAGAGAGAGGCTTGGTGAAAGCGTAGTTGTTGGGTTGTTCCTGCTGCGGCGGCGTGGAGGCGCCGCTGGGAGAATCGGAAACCGCCATTTGGAGGAGCGAGATTCCGAAACACACTACGCTGTGCCTTTTTCAGTGTGAATCGCTGGCATCGGATTGTTCCAGTTCAGAGATGCACCTGATTGGAAGCAGGCTTTTGGGATTTGGGGTTTGGGTGGGTTAGGGAGCGTTTGGGGGAAATCGCCAGTCAGACTTTAAAACCGATTTTTATCACGCGGAGCGGACTTGAGTTGGGTTTACGTTCGTTGTACCCACTCGGAACGTCCCACCTGTACTTCTTTTTCATTTTTTTTTTTTAATTCTTCGTTCGCCTCAAATAAATATACGTTGTTTTTGTTTGAGATTTTTTATGGGAAAAAGAGAAGAGAGAGAGAGAGAAAGACAACAAATTTGTCTTGATCTGAACTAGAACTTTCAGTTTCAGATCTCTTATCCATCGTGTTGCTTTCTAGCTCGTTCTTTTCTAGCATATTTTCATTCACAAAACTGATAACTCATATTAAAAGTTATTATGAATAATATAGTATATATTGGGCAGTTTGTTTATTAAAAAAAAATCTTTTTTATTATCTCATTTTTCATCACTAATAAGAAAAATAAAAATTACTAATAAAGAAAAGTCAAAAATTAATTTTTCATTAAAAATTAGTTTAGAGAAAACACATTAAAATTTAGAAAATTTATTTCTTAAAAAAATTAAACAAAATTAACTCTAAAAAAAGTACATGTAATGAAAATCACTCAAGTTAGTTTAGTAGCTGGGAAAAGGATTTCAATAATTATACAAAATTAACTCTAAAAAAAAAGTACATGTAATTAAGTAACTCTATTCAATAATTCATATTTTACATTCAATTTAATAATTTAACCGTTTAATTAAAAAATTTAATTAATAGACCAAGTTTACAAATTCTTACAAAATTTAAAAACAATTTAGTGCTTTATTATATAGATTCAAATTAACATATAATATGTTTTTATGAATAACCGTTAATTTGAATGAATATAACATAGTATTAAATATTTTTAAACTTTGTAAAATTTGTATATTTTATCTATTTATTAGAAACTTTTAATTTAATGATTAAATTTTTAAAAACTAATATAGATTTAAGAGTTATTGAATAAAACAATAATTACTCTTAGAGTAGGTGAACTCCTTTATATATAGGGATGACAAATAAACTCGTACCCATGGGTGATACCGAACTCATTCTAACTTTGACGAGAAATATCTTGTTTGATCGGGTACGGGTACGGGTAAAACCCGATATGTTAAACCGGGGTATGGGTACGCGTACGGGTATATACATACTCGCCCTGTATCGTCCCTGATTGAATTATGTTAAAAAATTTAATATTTTATTATGTGTAATTATTTATTATAATGTGAAACATTTATAGTTGTTTAATTATTAAAAAATCTCTTGATTAAAATATGAGATAGAGAAATAATATAATTATAATTATAATATAATGAAAAAATAATTTAAAAATATTGTTTATTTTTTTATAAAAATAATAATAATAATTTTTTACGAGTACAAGTATACCGGATATCCAACGGGGACGGGGATGAGGACGAAAATCATATACCCGGCAGGTACGATGATGGATTTGAGTTGCGGGGACGGGTATCATGAAACCCATACCCGACCTGTCCTGTTGTCATCCCTATTTATATATATATATGTGTGTTTTCAAATTGTCTAAGGTTCAAATATAATTTTTATGTATGAGATTGACTACATTGAGAACAAAATACTTATTTTGTATATATTTATGATCTTCGACAGAGATTAGTACTTCAAACCAATGTCACAATTACCAATAAAATACTATTAATAAGGTGTATACAAATTTTAAACTTACCTTTATAACTACCTCTAAACCACTTTCTCTTTCATTGTCATTTGTTTATTTTTTTTCTACTTCAACAATATTCAATTTTCAAATATCTCATTCTTTTATTAATCACTTTTTTTTTAAGAGAGACACAAAGTGTCTTTTTTCTTCTAATACCTATGTATAAAGATGGTTATTTATTTTTGTGTATACATTATTTTCTTACAATTTTAACTCTTTAAATAAAAATATTAAATTGCACGATGATATTTAATAAAGGTCACAAAAAAAAGTTTAGTGTAAAAATTTTATTCTTGAAACAATTATTGAATGCAATAGTTGCAAATTATCTCCCTAACATGTATATTCAAATGGAAGTAGGTAGCACATTTTCTCCCATTGGCATATATATTGGATGTGTATATTATGAGAATGACATATTTATATGAGAACGAGAATTAACAATCTCAATTGTCAAATTAAAATAGAATGTTGTGATTAAAACACTCTTTAGTATATATATATATATATA